GGGGGGGGGAGAGCATCAGAGCATTTGCAAAGCCGCCTGAGGCGTTGCGAGCTTTCTAGATATCTCGCGGGCGCCTCACCCCCCACTGACGCATCGCTCGGTTTTCGTTACCCGCCTTTATCAAGTCTTCCCAAAGCATCAACTTAGTTTTCATAGAAACAACGGCTCTTTCTCTCCACGTGGGTGTCGCACAGAGCGCGTCAACGCCTGGCATAAACAGGTGTGGGAGCAGGTGCAGGGCGCGGCCGAGGGCGGCTGGGGGGGCTGCCGGAGCCAGAGCACGGGGCCGACCGGCAGGGGCAGCCGCGAGCCCTTCCGCTCCCCTGCGCCCCTCTTTCTGCCAGGCCGCCGCGACTCCTCGGGCATCCGCCTGCACTACACGGCCACGCTACGTCGCTTCGACGCGGGCATCATGGAGCTGGGGCTTGTGTACTCGCCCGTGATGGCCATCCCCCCGCGGGAGACGGCCTTCGTCCTCACCGGCTACTGCACGGACAAGTGCACCCAGCTGGTAAGCGGGGCTGGGCCGGGCACCTCACCCTCCCTCGCCCTGGTTCCCCCGGCTGGGGTCCCACGGGCGGTTCCCACCCGGTCTACAGCACGTGCCGGCCAGCGCTTCCTCGCGCCGCACTGAAAACTAGGCTTTCATTCCGAGAATAAGACAGACGTGCGTTCACCGCTAAACCACGGGTACTGCAGATAAAGCCCCCCTCCCCCCGCCCCAGACACCCCGTTTTCGGCTCCTTTGTGTCCTTCCAGACTATAAATTGCGACGTGCCCTTATATGTGCTGTCTAAAAGCAAATGGACCGAATAGGAGACATGTGTCCTGCCACTCACTTGCCTTTTGGCGGCCACATGCCCTCGCCCAGCGTGGTTCCACTGTGGACCTCACCAGGGCCAGACCGCCGCGGCCAGGGGGCACCGATCTCGGGGCCGTGCGAGGGCGGGTGGGGCGCAGATCGGCACGTAGAGCCGGAGCAGGCGGTGGGGACCTCGCTTCCAAAGGAGCAGCGGTGCCTTCCCAGGCTCTGTGCCCTCGGCGCTCCCCTGCCTCGTCCGGCCCCGCCTGTGTCCACCTGCCCCCTAGCCGCCCGTGTGCAGACCCCTGCCGACTTCTCACCGACCACGAGAGAAGAAGGCTATTGGGACGTCCTTGCACACCAGGAAGACGTTTTCTCAGGTAGAGTCCAGAAGATGCCCCGCACAGAGGCCGTGAGCTTGAATTTGAACAAATCTCACAAAGTGCCCTCCAGAAAGCGTATCTGTTCCCCCCACCCCCGCCACGCTATCAATATTTTCAATATCTCCCCAGTCACTTGGAAGAACGCTTCACTGTTGAGCGTGAATTTCCCCGACTCTTTGTAGAGCTTGACGGTGAGGGTCTTTTCATTCGTCTCATCCGCCGTGTTCTTTCCTGTGAACATCTGCTCACAACTTTGTTTTCCTAGCGGGGTGTTGGCTCGTCTTAGATTTGTTGCGGGGGGTTCTTTTTGTTTTCTGTCTGTGGCGAATGCCGCCACACCGTTGGCTTCCCACAGCGCCCCGCTGGGTAAGCGCTGACCGCCACGCCCTGCAGCCGAGGAGCCGGGGGCCGGGGCCACAGTCCCAGCAGGTGCACGGCGCGGAGGCGCGCGTGGGTCTGACCTGCAGAGCTGTGGCCACCGCAGCGGGCTGCTTTGCGACGTGGCATCGGGTGTGCGTGTCTCCCCAGCGAGCTGGCTCTCCACGTGGACTTGTGCTCCGCGTGGGCTCCCCGAGCCGAAGAGAGATCGAGCCATCAGCCTCGATCGGTTTCTTCTTTTCTGAGACCAGCATCTGGCGCTCTTGCCCACACCCCCAGAGCTCCCGTCGGTGATTCCTCCTGCCACTGGAGAGGCTCTGTGGCCCCAGGCGTGGGCCTGGGGCGTGACCCACTGAGGACGCACCAGGGCAAGTGGCTCCGTGGCACTCTGACCTCTGGAGAATGCCTCTAGCCAGCGTTTTGGGAAATGTTCTGTCGAAACCAAGTCTGCGTGACGTTAGGGAGAGCGTCCTTCCTGGGAATGTAGACCAGCCTCCAGATACTTTACCACCAGGAGAGAAAAACTCAGTTTGCCCCTCTTCCCCTTCAAATAGTACGTTTTTTCTGAAAATCGCATGATGTGGAAAACCTGCTGAAGGGTCTCCACAGAGTCTGGTCCTGTCTCTCCTTTAGCACATCACCGAGGGGCATAAATTCGGCAGCTGAAAGGCCGGTGTGGTCGACATATCCTCGTCCAGATGGACAAGCCAAGAAAAAGTATAGCGTTCGAGACCACAGGCCCCCGGGCGAGCGACCAGCCTCTGGGGCCGCGGGGAGAGAAACCCAGGGTCCCGCAAGCAAGCGGAGGCTCCCAGCTGTCACAGGCGTGGCCATAAGCCTTCCCAGCCTCAAGTCACTGAGCGGGGGCCGGAAGTTTCCAAGATGCCAAGGGCAGGACAGCAGCAGGTGGAGGGCAAGAGGGAAAGCACGAGGTGAAATCAGCCGACGGGCAGAAATCTCCGCAGCCTGGGGTCGCTCGGCGACAGAGCCACGGCCGCAGGAGCCCCCGAGCCGCCAACAGTGTGGACGGAGCAGAGCGGAGCACGGTGGGGTGTCGTCGGGGAGACGGGGGGTGGGGAAAACGCTTCACACGTGTAACCGTTTGAGGAAACGTTCTGTCGAAGCCAAGTCCACGTGACGTCAGGGAGAGCGTCCTTCCTCTGGGAAGTCCCCTCACGCCTCAACGGGGAGGGCAGGCAGTCTCGATGTGAGGGCTGGAGGCCCCTTCTGAGTGCCAGCCGACGGCCTCCGCGCTCAGTGCCACGGCGGTCAGTGCCACGGCCGGAAGACAGCGTGACCGTGAAGCAGGGGAAGGTCTCCCGCGGGTCGTGCCACAGGGCAGCTGCTGATGCTGGTGCCCGGCGGGCGCTGGACGGGACCGCCTAGCACCGGACCCGAGCCCGCCGAGCCGGGGGGGTCCCACTGTGCTCACCCGGGTGGCCCCCTGCCCACCGGGCGCTCCCCTTAAAGTCTGTTGAGTGCATGAAAAGTGAACGCAGTGGCCTTCAGGGGCTCGAAGAAGGAAGCCGGCTGCACCCCCTGACGAGCCTCTGCAGGCTCTCGCAGACAGCTGCTTTGGAAGACCAGGGCCGTGACCGTGACACCGCTCTGCGGGCAGCTCCCTCCCTGCGGAGTTTCCTGATGGGGACTCAACCGTCCAGGGAGAAAGACGAGGCTGGGCAGGGCAGACGTTCTGGGGACGCGGGCTCGGTGGTGTCGCTGTCCCGCGGCCCGCGATCCGGGCTGGCGGTCAGCACGAGGGCAGGTGGCAGGGTCCCCCGCGTGCCGGGCTCTGACCCTGCCCCCCCCCCGCCCCGCCCCGCCCTGCAGGCCCTGCCTCCCTTAGGGATCCACATCTTCGCTTCCCAGCTCCACACACACCTGACGGGGAGGAAGGTGGTCACTGTGCTGGTCCGGGACGGCCGAGAGATGGAGATTGTGAACAGGGACGACCACTACAGCCCTCACTTCCAGGTAGGGGCCGCCCGCCCCGCAGGGCCCGTTCGGTCCCCGGGCTGGGGGCCTGTTTCCCCTTCTGTCTCCCACGGCCACCGGAGCATGCCCATGTCGGGTTCCTCATCCTGGGCCAGGCCAGACACCTGAGAGCTCACAGCGGCCAGCCCCTCCCCTTTGGGGGTTCAATCCAAGGGAGGGACTCCGGTGGCAAATTCTGGCATGTGGCTTTACGATGCTAAAGTCCGTCCCGGAATACCACCTTCTGGGGCTAAACCCTTTCTGGCTGGAGGCCACACTTGACCGGTCCTGGCTTCCCCCCCGAGGGGCTGGGAGCATGGCCCCAGAGGGCTGCAGAGGAGAGGTGGCTGGGAGCTGGTCTCCAGCCCTCTGAACTCTCCCCTCCACCCACCCAGGAGATCCGCATGTTGAAGAAGATGGTGTCCGTGCACCCGGTGAGTGCCCAGTCAGGAACAGGGAGGCGGGGAGGGCCGGGGGTGCCCCCCACAGGCGGAGAGAAAGGCACGAAGGGCGGCACGGGCCGTGTGAGGACTTCTAGAAGCACGTCCACGCGAGGCGGGGGCTGGGGCCATCCCACGGTGAGGTCCACCAGGACGTGACCGAGGCCTCAGAGGGCCCGGCGCAGGCAGCCCCGGGGGGCCTGGTGCACAGGCAACATGCCTGATCGGCCAGCAACAAGCCCTGAGCTTTAGGGAAAGACAAAGGCATGGGGGTCGCTGGTGGGGCCCCTGATCATGCAGAAGGGGAGCCGGGGCTCAGGCCGGGGCTTGCCCCAGTTCACCCATGGGCTGTGATGTGAGCAACCGGTCCGCACAACAGTCCTGCCTGCCTGTGACCTGGGTACTGAGGGGCGCAGAAGCCAATGCCAATGGGCAGTCAGTCGCTGGGAACACCCAGATTTTGACCCTCACGTGTGGGGGGCCCGGAGGCCACCCTGAGGTTCCTCAGTAATTGATGGATGACTGAGGACCATGACACGTGCCTTTGTGCCTTTCTCTCCTCCTGTGGGGGTTTGGTCAAACGTGGGAGCAGCCCGGTGCACCTGTTACCCCCAAGCGCACAGGTGCTGATGAGCGTCTCTTGGCTTGGCTCCCCAGGGGGACGTGCTCGTCACTTCCTGTACGTACAACACAGAAGACAGGGAGCTGGCCACCGTGGTAAGTCGCGCTGACTTTTCCCTGCTTCCTGCTCACGGAACGTGTGAGGCCGGGGCAGGGCGGG